GTACTTTAAAGTGTATAAATAAGTTACCCGGGCAATTGATCTACATCAGCCAATCAAACGAATGTCTGCCCATGAGGCATAGGCATGGCATGAGGCACCTAGTGCCTGGCATAAGCCCATATGCCCAGCATGGGCATTTGCAGACCCCTACTTATAAACCACAACTACGAAAAATTTCATCAATACAGCGTGGGTACTGATAAAGTAATATAGTTTATTATAAACAATCAAACCGGTGTATAGGTTGATAACCGTCTTAAGTTTGTACGCATAGAAACTTTCTACTAATTCGGATCACTATTTGAGTGCAAGAGAAAAACTGTAATACTTAATTTTTGAAAATTCGCTTTTACAGGAAACCAACTTATCTATGATAATATGTAATTGAAACATCATTCCCCTGCCTTTAAATTTTTATCTGGGGATGTGGGTATAAATATTATTATTATTATTATTCGGACACATTTTCAAGGATCGATAAGCCTACTCCATGAAGTGTTAGATCCGAAATTCAAGAATTACTTTGCGACACTACATTTCCCGTTAAAATTCGGTACGATCCGTCAAATCGGTGAATCCGATGCATTGATCTACAAGATCAAAATATTGCGCGCAAAACATCCATTACTAACGCGTGCTAAGAGTTGTAAATAAATATAAATACCCGATCAAATATCCAATAAAGATTTGCGAGATGTGAATAGAGAATTTTCCCAAAATAATGGAATTATTAGAGAAACAAGGTATTTGTAGTTGCGAGTAAGTAGATTCTGTAGCCAAGTGTTGTCTCCCGATTAGAGTGTCTTCAGTAAGTGAATTATATATTTCATTCTATTTAACGCATATTCATGAAAAAAATTATTTTTTTTTAGTGATATTGACGCTACGACAGTTGCACCCACTGTGCCTACTATAGTATCTGATAGTTCGACAAACTCATCAAGCGAAAAACAGATCGAGACCACAGAGTGTCTTACTCAAAGAGGTAAATTAGACATGGATTATTATTTGTAATTATATTAACAATCATCGGTCTAATTTTTATTTATAGCACCTTTGACATTAAACAATCTGGTAAGCGCCATTGCGATGAAGACATTCCAAATTGATCGCATCATAATTTAATAATCTTTGTAAAAATTCAATAAAGAACGACGAAACAGTTTCACACAATAATGTACTGGACTGGTTAATGAATGTAGTTGAGCCAACGAGGTAAATTTTAGGAAGACGTGTGTATACAGCTCGTAAATCAAACTTTTAACAACATGCATTTCATTTGGATATATATACTTGGGCAAGAGTTTGAATATTTTAGAAGAAATGAGTTTATAATGACATCTAATTTATTTTGATGATTGATAGATCAGCCTCGAGTCTAAGTTGTAAGGGACGCGACATAATTCGACCGCCGATTCCTCCCAACGAAGATAGTCCTACCCAACCGCCTCAAGAAGTAGCATACAAATTACGTCATAAATATAAACGGAGTAAATGGATAGACTCAGAGCTTAAAGCCTTAGAGAAAGGTATGACAAAGTATACCGATGAGAGATTAATATGGGTTCATATTCTGAAAGATGAGAAGTATGGACCCAAATTAAGGAATAGATCTGCGACAGACTTAAAAGACAAAGCTCGTAATGAGAAAAAAAGACGAGCCAGAGAAGGAAAATCTATTGGTGTTTTTCACATCGCGACAGGCTAATACGATGGTAACTAATTTATGTTAAAAGACAGATTTTTATCAAATAGTAATTTAATCTAACTTGTTCTAATTCTTATGTGGATCAGTATTTTAAAAAGTTTTTAAAGTATTCTTGAAATTATTAAAGTTTGGTTATCAAATTATTTTTGCATCATAGAATAAAATGCATTCTTTTGCCTAAAGATTTGGTTACGAGACAAATTAAATATATTATCGTTATCCAATTTATGATAAATGTCATTTAAATATAGATTCCGTCCGCGTGATATAATTGTCCTGTATGTACGTACGTACGGTGCGTGCTCGTAAAGTACTGGTGAAATTAGATTAGTAAAATAATTTATCACTATTATTGAACAACTTTTAAAATTATCATGGCAGAAAGTTCTTATTATTTTATACTTGTATTGTGGAAAACGTATCAAAAAAAAATTTTTTGACGCCGTATAAATATAAAACTTCCGACGCGCTTAATGCTCGCAGAAATTAATAATGATCCGGTAACCTACTGGTAGCTTACCAAGTTAACTTATCATGATAAGCTATTACTGGCGGTTATTTAAACATATATAAAAGTTTCCAAAAATTTGTCTGGGCAATTATTTTTTGCATGGCCTTACTATCTAATTTCTAAGTAAAAATGTTCAGAACTACAGAAAATGTTTCTTTATATAATAACGATAAATTTATTAATTAATTATAGAATTTTAAACTTGCTTGGACAGGACGTTGGGCGGAACATTACCAAAAAAGGCTTTGGACATCAAAAGTACAACACTGCTATAGCTTTGACGAACCTTTTTTTCTATTTACAATATGCCTAATTATGTTATTACCACCAAAGCATATTTAAAAATAATTCTTCATGCTTGTAAACATCCGTTTACAAGTGTAAATGGAATTCTTCTAGCCCAAGATGATGCTTCCGACGACAATAATGGCGATGTTAAAATAATAATTGTCGATGTTGTTCCTTTATTTCATCATTGGGTTACTTTAACACCGATGTTGGAAGTTGGATTACAGCAGGTAAGATCTAAATTTTAATTACTAAAATAACTTCCAAGAGGTTCAAAGTGTTTATTCTGAAGGATTTTCAAAGGTTTCCGTTTACGCTAATAGAAAGGGACTTAAAATGGCCGGTTATTACCATGCTAACGAAAGAGCTGACGAAAATAAATTGCCTCCTTTTGGCCAAAAAATTGCATCAAAAATTCAAGACAATTTTCATAATTCAATCGCTCTTGTGGTGAGTGTTAAAGACTCATTTTTTATCATTATAATTTTAATCGACTATTTTATTTTGTCTTATTCATTATTATTATTTAGGTTCAGAATACAAAATTATCACCTGATAATCCAGAGATTGCAATCGTGGTAAGAATCTTTATATAATAATTTTGGTTATATAATGCACATATGTATGCATAACTCAAGTCGATTACTAACTTGAAATATTTCTAGCCTTATATTTTTAAAGATAATCAATGGCGTCCTGATAATAAAGCATTTTCTGATCCTTTATCCCCCTTCACTCTTGAAAATCCAAATATACCTAGCATAACATCTCAATCAATTTTTAAAAGGGATTTCGAAGTTATATATGACTTTGATGAACATCTAGAAAATATAGAATTAGATTGGTTGGATAACACCAAACTAATTGAATTGGCACTTGAAAACAAAAAAAGAGCCTAAATTTAGAAACTGTTGCGACTGTTTCGTTAAAACAATTATCAAAAGATCAAGAAAACGTTTAATAAAAAGAATTTCACTTTATTTCTCATTCCATTGATGTTGACAATCGTGATTACAACATTTATAAAAAATTGACATAGGCTCATCTGCTGAACGTGTTTGTATTTGCATAAAGTATGCACGAGGATGTTCGCATTTTGGACATCTCGCTATTAAAGTAAATTATTGAAATTATTGAGCATTAGTATACATTATAATAAAGATCAGGTAAAGAGCTCACCTTCGGTTGAATCAACATTTTTCCAGCCCTCTTCTCCACCTAAAACATCGTCAACTTCTTTGCGCTTTAGAGTCGTTCGATTCTTATACTATAATTTCAAAAACCTCAGTAATTACACCTTTAAAACTTTAATGTCTAACCACAACTTACAAGAGATTTGCCACCTCTACCTCCAATTGGAAATATGTAAGGACATGTTTGACAGTAAAACGATTGTTCTCCTTGCGTAAGTGTTTTTATTAAAAGTAAATTTCCACAACAAGGGCAGAATAACATTTTTCTATTTTGATATTGATATTGGTTCCCACAAAAATGTTCATTCTGGCCAATTAAATTTAAGATCAGGTGTAACGTGATATTATACTGTAGCGGAGCCTAAGCGGAGCCATAAAACGAATATTCTACGGACAGAGCTTAGGGACAGAGCAGAATCATGTGATTAGTTAATTAGCGGTTAGTAGAGTGTCCAGGATTATGATTCGACATAATATTCGCATAATTCACCTAATGGCACATAAAATATGCGATTTTGCATAATTTAAAGAAATTCGCATAATATCGCATAATTTAACATTCTTACGTTTGAAAAAATTTCTATTGGTCAATTGGAATTACACAGACAAAGTTGACCGGGGTAAAATCGCCACCCAAAAAAGTTTCGAAAATCGTGATATTGTCAATTCATCATGATTAAGATCATAAAATTTATAAGATAGTATAGTAATTTTTTTTTCTTCGATTCTTCAAAATGAAAAGCGATCGTTTCATCTCGACAAACCAAGTTATTCTTTTAAGTGCATAA